TGTAGCGATTTTTATGGAAAAAAGGCTCTAGGATTAGATAGCAATCTTGTCCATTTATGTTCCTGATGGGCTGGTCTTCAAAATGTAGGGAAAGGCCATCTTAGTTCTGTTATCCATTCAGTGTGATAACTGCCAACAATTTTTTAAAATATTTATTTTCCATGCTTCATATATTTATTTTATTAACCATTATTTTCTCTTTCTTCTGATAAATTTTTCTGTTAAGTAAAAGAAGTCACTGAGAAGATCAATACAGTAAAACCACAAGCCTGTTAAGTAAAAGGAGTCAATGAAAAGTTTGCATCGGCAAGCTTCACGTAATATAAATTTGTATACAATCACAATGGCAAGTAAAACTCACAAGCTCGGCTTCTCAAGTCCCATATCTTGAGAGTTCTATCATGACTGCCAGACACGACTTTATTAGCATCTCCGAGGAATTTAGCCGCTAGGACTTTTCCACTGTGACCTGTCAGTGCATGCTGCAGATTATAAAAAATAAAAAAAAAAGTTCAGAATGATTCACCATGTAGACAAAACAAAATAATATTTGGAAACTGTTTATGTTACATTATCAAATCAATGTTGCTCCATAGGACTGTGGTATACACCATTTTCGCTAAATTTGAAATGAAAATTTCTGAGAACCTGGCAACTACCACTGGACGACATCCAGGGGCCTAGGCATTTCGCTCTACGTAGTTACCAGTGTTTATTTCCGCTATAACCGGTGAACGACCTTCCTCTTGTAATGAGTTAGTCTAGGCCTAGGCTAGTCTTTAAAACCAAAATATCAAAACAAAAACACAGAAGAAAATAGTTGCGCATAAAACATGTAGTTGTTGCTCCATAGGCCTGTGGTATACACCATTTTCGCTAAATTTGGAATAAAAATTTCCGAGAACCTGGCAACTACCACTGGGGGACATCCAGGGGCCTAGGCATTTCACTCTACGTAGTTACCAGTGTTTATTTCTGCTATTACCGGTGAACGACCTTCTTCTTGTAATGAGTTAGCCTAGACACAGACATAGACAAACAGTACTCTTTATTTAATCCATTGATGGAAATTACATAGCCTGTACGGTTATCTCATTATACAGTTTAATTCATCTAGAAATAAAAGACCGAGGGTGAAGGAGGGGATTCAGCACCCCCTCAAACTTGATCGCCAGTCCCGCGTAGTAGACAGAGTATACCAATCGCAAAGGCAAACCAATCAACCTTTCAGCTTTACGGATAAATTTATGCAACGTTTCCCAATCCCCTCCCGAAATGTTTCCACCCCAGCAAATAAGACAATAGTTCAAGACCCCAATAATAACAGAATTAAAAAAGAGTTGTTTAACTTCCTTAAACAGAACATTCAAACATGAAGTTTCTTAACTAAATAGTCCACATAACAGTTCCAAGTGAGCCTATTATCATATTATAAAGATAATTCAACCTGCTCAATACATGAATTGTTAATAGTAATACAATCATTTATAGAAATATTTTTTCTGAAATCGATTACCATTTCTTTCGTTTTATCAGTGTTTAACTCCAAGAAATTATAGTCACAGTATGATACAAAACGTTCTATCTCTGGTTTATAAAGTTCAATATTATCATTTTTAATTACAGTAAACCTATAATAGCTGAGTCATCTGCATATTTCATTGTAGGACAATTAGAATTAGTTCTGAAATCCGCTATATACAATGAAAATAGAAAAGGTGCAAAAACAGTGCCTTGTGGAGCACCCGTATTTGAAATAAGAACATCAGATATGATTTGGCCAATTTTTACAATTTGTTGCCTATTCGTAAGGTAGTTAACAATAAACATAATAACAAAGGCAGGAACATTCATAGCTTCAAGTTTCTTAGCCAGAAGATGTACTTGTATCGTATTAAATGCGGAACTGAAGTCAAAATACATAATACGAATAGAGTTCCTTTACGAGAATGCTCAAGGTGTGAGTAAATACTTTCTAGTTTATAGAGTAGGGCATCTTCTGTACCATGATTAGGCCTATACGCAAATTGGAGTGGGTCCATAAATTCCATAACACGAGGTACCAAAAGCTTCATCACAATCCTCTCACAGACCTTCATCGCAGTGGATGTAAGTGCTATAGGTCGCATGTCATTCATGGATTGAATTATGCGAGTCCAGACGTTTCTTTGTGAGCCACGTTTCAGTGAATGCCATTATGCTTACTGTACACTCCGGAATTCATTTAGATTTTTAACGTTGGCCCTCAATTCATCAATTTTATGATGTAACGATTGAACGTTACCGATAATAATAGAAGGTAGGGTTGGCTTACATCTTTGTGATTTAAGTCGCTTTTTAAAACCATTCGCCTTCCCACGTTTTCAGCGTTTCATTTCCGCAGATATGAAACGCTGAAAACGTGGGAAGGCGAATGGTTTTAAAAAGCGACTTAAATCACAAAGATGTAAGCCAACCCTACCTTCTATTATTATCGGTAACGTTCAATCGTTACATCATAAAATTGATGAATTGAGGGCCAACGTTAAAAATCTAAATGAATTCCGGAGTGTACAGTAAGCATAATGGCATTCACTGAAACGTGGCTCACAAAGAAACGCCTGGACTCGCATAATTCAATCCATGAATGACATGCGACCTATAGCACTTACATCCACTGCGATGAAGGTCTGTGAGAGGATTGTGATGAAGCTTTTGGTACCTCGTGTTATGGAATTTATGGACCCACTCCAATTTGCGTATAGGCCTAATCATGGTACAGAAGATGCCCTACTCTATAAACTAGAAAGTATTTACTCACACCTTGAGCATTCTCGTAAAGGAACTCTATTCGTATTATGTATTTTGACTTCAGTTCCGCATTTAATACGATACAAGTACATCTTCTGGCTAAGAAACTTGAAGATATGAATGTGCCTTTGTTATTATGTTTATTGTTAACTACCAATAGGAATAGGCAACAAATTGTAAAAATTGGCCAAATCATATCTGATGTTCTTATTTCAAATACGGGTGCTCCACAAGGCACTGTTTTTGCACCTTTTCTATTTTCATTGTATATGGCGGATTTCAGAACTAATTCTAATTGTCCTACAATGAAATATGCAGATGACTCAGCTATTATAGGTTTACTGTAATTAAAAATGATAATATTGAACTTTATAAACCAGAGATAGAACGTTTTGTATCATACTGTGACTATAATTTCTTGGAGTTAAACACCAATGATTACTATGCAAGTTCACCCACATGAAAAATAACTTAAGAACTATGACATATTTAATATGCAAATAATATTGACCTTTAACCTATGATCCTGAACACCCCACACTCTCATTGCAAAGTCACTGGAAGCTCCAAGTACAAAATGTTCCTGAACATCAAAGTCTACAGACGTTACTCCTGCATTGCTACCCATTAGACTTGCTAATTTCTGACTAGAAGAGGATGCATCTACAAATAACAAAAGGTCTATAGTTAATACATTTTGTAATACAACAGTAAAATTTGGAAACAGATCAAGCTTGGCGCACAGTCCAAGTGCAATTATGAGGGACATGATGATGGATTTTTTTAAGACAGATGGCTGCCAGAGACGAGTATACTCACCCACAGTGTTTTGCTGAGGGATGAGTATGCTCGTAAAAATCGGGGTAACATTCTAGCGTTTATAATTTCTTTGTTATACATTGTAGAACCAGACTCGACAGTTGGTAGTTTGGGGAAGACAATGTACACACAACGTATGTATATTTGTTGTGTTATGTTGCTGATAGTACACTCGAGCGGCACAAGTGGGGCGCCCTTTGAACATATACCAACCCATGCAAAAAGCGGACAAGATAACTCGAACTTGGCATAGTCAAACTCGCCCCCCCCCTCCTATTTCCCCGCCAAGTTATTAGCCATTTCAAGATAGACTTATTTTTTAGATGGTACAGTACATACACTGTACTTGAATTTCAAAGAAACAAAATAAATTCAAAACACGCTTGGTTTACACATAAGTGATTTAACCCTTTCGCTGCATACCCCCGGTACTACCGGGGATAATTATACATCGTTGAACTGCGTACCCCCGGTATTACCGGGGGTATGAAAAATAATTCTTTAAAAATATTTTCTTGTACTAACATCCGCCCTCTGTAGTTTTTTTATCAACTAGAATATTTTTCCTCATAAAAAAATGTGTTTACCAAGAAGATGGCGGGTGCACGGCCTCGAAAAAAGCGTTACAGTATAATGTATACAGTATAATGTTGATGGAGTTGTGGATCAGATTTTTGCTGATAGACAGTGAAGACAAATTTGAGTTGGACAGTTCAGCGACTACATTTCCATCAGCTGACTATAGTTCCAATAGTGATTTTTTAGATGAATTTATGGATTTGGAGGGCCTTGCTCAAGCTAGGGCTAGGCCTAGGAGAAGGCAATCCCCTATTTCCAAATTGTGCCCACCCCATAGGCCAACCTCTTGCCCACCCTGCATGCAAAAAGAATTTCGGAATAACCACTTACTATTTCGAAAAGTGATTTTTTTTTCTGAAAAATTCATGTTATTTCATGATTTTGACAAAAATCGTTGATTTGTCTGTATTTTTTTATCAAATGATGAAAATAATTCAAACTTTTGATACTTTTTATTCACTATATATCTATTGAAAAAAAAAAACATATCCCACAAAAATTTCTTAGAAAAAAAGTAGCTTTTTTAAAAATTTTTATGAAAAATGGGATATCCAATATGGCTACCAATAGGTGACATGACCACATAATCATGCAAATCACCAATTTTTTTAATTCCCCACAAGCCCAACCCACAACACAAAAAGAAATTACCTCTTTTATTATTTTTTTGACATTTGTTTCAAAATTACCTTATTTTCTTAAAAAATTGTCCAGCACAGAGGTGGGACAAACACTGCGCAGTGAAAGTGTTAATGCCGGTTAATACACTACATGGTGTTACAGTGACCCTATTTATTGTTTTATAGAAGTAATTACCGAAATTTACAGCATTCATTTTAAAAAGAAGCCCCCTCTTTAACTTTGCAAAAGTAGTCTCAAAAAGAAGCCCATCTTGAAAAGAGGCCCATCCAAAGTTCGCAAAAAGAAGCCTAGAGCTTCTATTGGAGGTCTTACAGAATTTCATTTAAATGTGTTTTGTGACAAAATAAAATGTCCTTATTCTTTTGTTAAGCTGAAAATAAAATTTAAAAAATCTTTTATTGCTTATTTTGCACATAATAATTAAAGTTTACAGCCTCTTAATTAATAATTTTAGCCAACAGTGAGAAAGTGCTGTATCACAGCCAATGCAATAAGTGCAGGATGTTGACATTTCTGCCTAGCATGACTAACATTTTGAGTGCAACTTTTCTTAGTTCAGTACTTACCACGTATAGAAAACTCCCAAAGATTGACTTTCCTATCAGCACCACCAGTTGCAAACTTCTTTCCTGAAGGGCTACAACAGATTGCGCTCACATCATTTTCATGTGCATCCTAAAATAAATTTTATACATTAATCATTTCCATGAATTGGGGGTGCGCACCTCCCCCCACCCCTTCCAATTCGTGCCTGTTTTTTGTTTTTGTTTCCTGTGGCCTAAAAGCGCCTTTAGACAGGTTTTTCTGTGGAAGGCACTATATAAGTACATGACTGACAATGAATTGAATTATTTCAAACTGTACAGATTGTCTTATATATTTGTTAGATTCCCCTCTAATTGGAAAAATGACGTCATTAAGCTATTTCACAGAGAGCGAAATTGTTTCACCATAACCATGAACAGTTTAATTTTCACTAGAGTTCTTCAACAGATTGTTAACTTTTTAGTTTGTTGTGTTGCTCTTCGGCAAATTTTGGAATTTATACTTTATACAAAGCAAAAAAAATGTGCAGCCAATTAGAGCTCAGGACAGAATGTTGCCATGCCCGTAAGCACAGAAAAGAATCCATTAATGTACATGTCACCATGACAGGCCAACAAATCAATGGCAACAGGGTAAAAAATTTGTTGAAAAAAGCATATCATGAAACAAATTAATCACTTAGAACTGTTTTTAATCTTTGGAAACTTACAAACTTCCTGAGAACTTTAGTTGGAACACACGACACTGAAATAGGCGTTCTATAAAGAATAATAACATTAACATAAGTTGGTAAAGTAATGATTTCATTAAAAAACTAAAAAGAATGGTACAATAGTATTTAAAAATAAGACATATTGTATGTGATAACACTAACACTAGGATGTAGTTAATTAACAACGTACAGGAAAGGAAAACTGTCGCATAGTGAAGCTGCCAGATTAGTTAAGCTGTATTGTAGATTTCACTGTGGACTACATGGTTGCAGAAAGTCTTAACATTCGTGTTAGTTAAATGTTGAGTATGAAAGACAACATGAAAACTCACATTACAGGGCATGGGGATGTTACAACAGGTTTGACTGCCTCATCCAAAATAATTTTTTGCTTTTTTTTCTGTTCCTCAAGGAACTTATCGTTACTATTGTTGACAATGTTTGCATCCAGTGCTTTTAATTCCAGCCATCGCTTCAATAAATCATCGAACTCTTCTTGTACTTTACGTAACTTCGCCTCCAAACCAGTATAAGCCAGCTGCAGGGCTTGCTGCTCATCTCGTATTATCTAAAGAAACAAATTTTAACTTTCCATTTTTTTTCATAAATTATTTTATTTTATATAGGACTTCACTTTTATATTTATATTAAATTGTATATAACCTTGTATCTTATATATTAATTTAATTAAATAAAATTGCAATAATAATTATTTAGTATTTTACAAGGAATTTTAATTTAACTATAACAATTTAGAAAAATAATTGTACATAATTATTTCTTACTTTTAAATTTGTGTAACATTTTCAACTAAGCACTGATTTATTTTCTGAATGTAATGCTGTTGTTCTTTCTGTGTTTCCTTGATTTTTATTGATTGGTTATTGTTAAACTTGTATTGTATGTATTCAAAATTACAATAAAGAAAAAAAACAGAATAAATGGACAATAAAACTCTTTATGGACGATAGAATCAGTAGAGCCTTCCATCAGTCGCAAAACACTACAGAAAAAAAAAAATTATTTAAATAAAAAAAAAACATTTTAAAATGTACAACAGAAGTCCTATGTGCTTACAACTATATGTTGAATATGTTGAATATGTATTAAACTGGATCATAATCAATTTAAGGGTTAAAGTAGCAAAAAAAAAAAATTCTAAATCTGCAAAACAATATGATTTAAAAGTATATATCAATGGGAGTAAATAACATATTGATCCTTTTAAAGAGTAATTTTAATTAAACATTTTGAGGATATTTTATTTCAGATTTCACTACAGCACAGAGGTGTTTACTGTACTTTGTGAATACTTTACCTGGATAAACACACAAATTCCTTATACTCTACAAAAACAGAACATCTCAGCAAATCTCATGTATATGTGCCAAAGATATCAATTACTATACAAACTGTTCAACAGTGCCATACCTCATTTTCTTTATCTTTCTGCATTACTGTGTCTTCTAAACCTTTTATTTCGGTTTTGTAGGCATCTAGACTGGTTTCTAACTCAGCAATTCTTTGAAAAATAAAAACATAATAATAAAAATTTAATTTCTAAAACTGGCCAAAAAGTACAAGGCATTTAATAAACAACACGCAAGCCTTTAATGTTATATAAAGCAGACAAGCATTGAGAAAGCCATTTTATTCAACTTATAAGGCAAGAACAGAACAGGTGAACAAGCACCTCTACAGAGCCGTCTTACCAGTGGAGCCAGTTCTTATTATCAGTGACAATTACAGTATATTAAACAATAATGTTATGAACTGAATTTTGCTATCAAGATTCCAAAATTGCTAGTCCCCACACCATACCCTTTATGAATATGACAGGCATTGGTATGCTTACAGACACAGCAACTTACCATCTCAAAGAGACCAATCAAATTCTATTTCTTAAATCACAAATAACGATAGAGCATATCTTTCAATTGATCATAAAGCCCTGGCCAAATATCAAATTTTATTTGACAAAGAACTGTTGGATGCCCATATATAGTCATGTGATGTCATCATGACCATATTTAGACATGTCACATGTTTTTGTCAAACAAATTTTGATAGTCTGGATAGGGCTTTAGAATAAAAAGAAATGGATCCCTTTTAGGTCAGCAATCCAATGTAAAACAAAATTTTAAAGAAATTTCACAATTTACCACATTCATGGTGTACCATTACTTAAAAATAAAACAATAAAAACTTTCATATTTACTTATCCTTTGCTGAATCTAACTCTTTCTCTTTTGCTTGTAACTTTTTTGTAACATCAATAATCTGTTGAGCATTCTAGGAATAAACAAATAATATGGTAATTTTCCACATAAATATGCAAATTTCTTTATGAATATGTTAATAAGCTACTGCTTTCCAGCGATACACAGTGGCAATAATATACCTCTGATGTACTGTATGATCATTCATTCAGGCAATCATAAAAAATATTCAAAAATAAGAAAATAATGCAGTTTTTAGATACAATGTAGTTGTTAATGTTAAAAAGTCTATATTAATCCTGCTGTCTATTGAACAGATAAACATTAACATCTGTCTAAAAAACAAAAAAGCTATTATGTTTTTAAATAATTAACTATTGCACTATACCGTAAATACTCGAATATATATAAATTTCTTGAAGATTCAGTGCGGCGCTTATTCAAGAGTGGCATATATTTGAGAGCGGCTCTTATAAAAAAAATGCCCAGCCCATAAAATTTGGAACAAATTAGGTCGGCAAAAATTTGACAAGCTTAAATTCTCCGAGGACGGCAGTCTCTGCAATTTTTTACTACCTAGGCCTATAAGTATAAACTACGATTTTTTCAAACGCTCGACTTTACATCGTCATCTACTGATCGTGAATTTGTTAATTTCTCTATTAAATCAATATACTGCTGGTGAAAGA